TCCACGTGTCATTTTGGAGAAATCTGCAACAACGTAAACGCAAAGTATGAAACACCACTGCCGGCGAGGGTGCGCGCTCCAGAGCGCGACCATAACTCAGCCTTTAGAATCAWATGGATGAGACGATTCCATTGGACATGATTCAGCTTTGAGTGGACTGATACAGTCCTGATGGGTCTGCCAGCTCCCTCTGGAAAGTTTCTGTGGAACCCCAGTTCAATCACTGCTGCTGCACGTGCACGCGTGGCTCACACGGCCACTCGCTGCGTCGCGCTCCCAGAGCGCAGCAGTGCTAAACTAAAAAGAATGATTTTTTTCCTCAAAACGGCTGATGAGCCACTCGTCATCAGAAAATTCTATCTATTTTTAAATAAAAGCTCTTTGTGTTACACTATTTATTATATCCTCCAATAAGGCTGAATCYGTTCCTGTTAAATGTAGTTTTGGCACAACTCTGCGCRTCCTTTATTTAACTGCGTCCATGTGGATGTAATAACTGTTAATCATGTGGATGTAAAAATTGTTAATCATGTGTGTCTGCTGTGAACAATAATCATTTTCACATCATGAACAGTTTCTCAGAATCACCTTTTAAGTGTCGCCAATGGAGCCAAAGCCACAGAAATGTGCGTACGCCAGCCCTGGAGTTGGCGTGGGGCTGCGCACATTTCCACGTTCAGTTGAGTTTTGATACATCCGGAGTTTTGCGTGGGTAATGACGTACGCAAAGTTTTTGTGCGTTGATACATGAGGCCCCAGCAGGACTCTGCCAGATGTTTGGCGGGTAAAAACAGAACTTGGCATACTGACCCATTTATAAAAACTGAGTATTTGGAGCTAAAGTTGATGCACGTTTTTCTCTGAACAAGCCAAGAAAAGACAAGTTCAGTGACTTCCACATGTTGGCTTCTTCCATTTAAGGATAATGGAGGCCGCTGTGCTCTTAGTAACTTTGAGTGCTGCAGAAAATATTTTATAACCTTGACCAGATCTGTGCCTTGCCACAATTCTGTCTCTAAGCTCATCAGGTAGTTCTTTGACCTCATGATTCTCATTTGCTCTGACATGCACTGTGAGCTGTGAGGTATTATACAGACAGGTGTGTGCCTTTCCTAATCAAGTTCAACCTAAGGCCGGCGTCACACTACAAGAAAATCAGGCCGATTTTTGCCCTTCCAACAATCTTAAGGAAGTCCAGATTATCATGATGGCTCTAAAGATAATCACAGCAAATATTCCTGCCGTGGGTGGTGAGTTAAGAGTGATCTAGTCGGCTCAGAAGGACATCGGGACCGCTCCGACCTCAAATCGGGGATATTCAACTTGTTAGATTTTTTTGGCTTGATATCACAGTGTGTGTAGTGTTCACCTGAGCTCGCAGCCTGTTGAATGAGACGTGTAGCCAATCAGAAAGCGAGGTGACGTAAACACAGAGGGGATTCCAAATTACAGAAGACAAAAACTGTTATAACTCACCAGAAAGTCTGCTGGATGTTAAAAGTCCTATGGAATTGTTTTTCCTCTGGTAAAAATAGTCCACAAA